CCTTAGTGGGGATCTAATACAGAGGATATTTGTCACCTAATGATGTTTCCTCTTTTTTTTTTTGAGGTGTAATATTAAAACTAGAAATAACTGTGCTGTGTCTAAACATAAATTCTTCAGTATCATCTGACTAGCTACTCTTTAACAAACCGTTTAAATTACACTATTGCTTCGTTTGTGCTTACAAAATTAAACATAGACTTAATCGAAGACATTGCATCCACAGGATGTATACCATATTTGTAGTAGAGCTCTAAGGTATATCAGCTGTTTAGCAGGGGAGAGTGTGAATCACAGCCCAGCTCCATTTGAGACAGCAACTACTGTATGAAAGATCCCGTTTCCTATTGTTTAGTTAATGTCTGTCTTTTTTTTTCCTGGAGGCCAAGAACTGGAGAATGAATACACTTAAGAGACTAAAAAAAAAAAATATGCAAGTAGTAGATCTGTGAGTCAATAAGAAGAAACTTTCCAAAAGCCTCAGGTTTTAGGTGTTTTTTTAATTTATTTTATTTCTGTATTCAGAAATCAGTGACCGAAACATTTCACCTAAATTGCATAAATTAGATGTTCCTACTCTTCTGCTAAACAGGGAAATGAAAAACTGTGTTCTGATCATTTTAGATTACAAGATTGGAAGAAAAGCAAAAGACATAAAGCTTTTCATTCAAACCAGTTTTATACACCACAGCACAAGTATTAATTATGCTTTGTCCAGTAGCAAGTCAATTTTAAGATTTGCAGCTATAACTATGAGCTTTCTGACTTTCATATCTTTCATTGCTTCTGTTGATTGAACAATGGAAATTTTTTGGTGTTTTTTTTTATTTTTTGGTAGAGGATCTATTTAGAACAGTGTGTGGGAAATGCCAGATAAAGATTAAAAAAAAAATAATCAGGGAAGACCTTGAGTTCAGTCTTGGCAGAAGATATTAAGTTAATTTTACAAAGACAAAATCTTCACTTAAGCCAAATAAACTTAACACGGCATTTTGCATCAGCCTGGTAAACACCAGTAACTCCTTGGGAGCCATTGCACCATCTGTTTAAAGAGAAATTCCAGATAGTGTGTTATTTTTTTGTGTAGAATGCTTTAAAAGTTTTTAGCATGATACACTAACAGAGAATATGTTTGGTATCCAAACCAATGTGTGTTTCTTTGATCTTTGCTAGTATGTTTAATACTTACCTGAAGTTGAAGAATAAACAATTAAGAACCTTACAATGAGCTTTTGAGCGCAATGGCCAGGTAAATAGTCATATAGATGAACAGTTTCAATCTCTTCAAGCCTTTTGTAATCTTTTGATATACTAATGTCAGTTTTTAATCTTAAAGTGGATTTGTGTACAAAACATGTCATTGTTTATTCTGTATTTCAGGTCTGGCTTCATGCACCCTATGAGCTTCATCTGTCATTATTTGAGCACTTCATAGAACTTCTTACAGAGTCCAGGTATGAGCCGATGCCAAGCTAGTAATGAGACTTAGAAGCATTAGGTAATATGTAGAGGATGCGCCAATTTTAAATTGCCACCTCCTTTTTTTTCCTTCTTCCAGCGAAGCGGCAAAGAACGCTAAGTTAATGAGGGAGTTCCAACTCATCCCAAAACTGCTCTTGACTCTTCGAGATATGTCTCTGTCCCAGCCTACTATTGCTGCAATTAGTAACGTGCTGAGCTTTCTGCTTCAAGGCTTCCCTAGCAGCTATGACTTGCTCAGGTAGCCCACACTTGTGATAATTCTGGCTTTTGTGTTTTTATTACGTTGGTTATCTTGGTCAGAAATATATAATGGTAGTACTGCTGTGGAGAAAGTAACATGAAGTGCTTATGTACTGAATTTTATCCTCTAAGAAGTAACTGAACTAGACATAGACAATAGTTTTGTTAATGCCTTTATTTGCATATTAAATTCAGCTTGTATCTAAACAGGTATGACTGAATGATAAAACTGGCTTAATGTTCTGTAAGTGAAAAGTAAAGGTGTTGTGCTACAGCTCGCTTGTTCAAGTGAAGCACTGAGCACTTTTCTTAAATACCACTGAATATGACTTAAGATGGAGTATAATGGATACTTCTGGTTAAAATGCAGCTTTGGTTACTTTCCCACATGAAAGGTTTAGTTCAAGATTTTTTCATTAATCTTCACTGTGTGGAAAAATATGTAAGGCTGTGAGATGTAGTACTGTTAATTCTGACTGACGAAAGTTACATAAATAATTGCAGTTTGTATGTACAGGAGTATTTGAAATGCTTTTAAACGAGTTCAACTCCTTGAAAACTTATTTTTCTTATCTCCTGTTTCATTATAATGGAAATGGATAAAATATTGCAAGGTTTGGGTGTTCTTTGCATATTTGTTAGGGTTAGGGTTAGGGTTAGGGTTAGGGTCATGTTCTTAGCTTCTCACTTCAAGTACAATTAAAGGTGTCAGAAGCATCAACCTGAACATCTTAACCTGTCTTCGTTTTAATTACGCAGGACAAAAAATGATTCAAGAATAAAACCGTTGATTTTGTGCTTAAATGGTTACAGAACAGATTGTAGAATGCCTGTCTGAGTGTTTCTTGTTCTCCTTCCTGGAAATAATAATGTGAAATATTGTATAACCTGGGAGAAGTTATGCTAGCTAGGGATCATTTCAGGTTAGTTCCAGAGGAAAGAGGAATATGCTACATCTCCTTTCTCTGAGTAGCATGTCATCATCTTGTCTTAGAAAACATTGACCTTGTGTTACATCACCTCAAGCTGTAGGCATAAACGTTATACCAGAGTCAAGCAGTCGCTGTTTTTGATGTAATACTTGTTCAGCTGTAATGGTTTGAGAATAATGTTTTTGTTCTCCTTTCTTTAACTTGGGGTGTTCCATTTATTACATTTGGTGGTATCTCCCAGTTTCCTTTCTTGAATCCTAGCATTTTCAGGGTCCCTTACCTGCAGACTTGTCTGTAAAGATTCCATTAATTACTACACATTTATTTGTTTTTTGGCTAGTAGCTGTAGTTGGAGACCATCTTCCTAAGTCTTCAGATGTGAGAAAGTTGACGTTTTTGGATATCACCCTCTCACTAGTGTTACAGTTTTATGTTTAAGGTGAATTATTGATAGATGAGAGTGCATCTGTCATATCAGTGAATAATGTTTTTTCTGTATATATCCAGGTTTGGACAGTTCATCGCTTCCACATTACCTACATTTGCAGTCTGTGAGAAGTTTGTGGTCATGGAAATAAACAATGAGGAAAAGCTTGATAGTGGTAAGTGCCATCATGGTTAGATGCAGTAGAAGAGAAATACTTTGTGATCTCTCCTGTGCTGAAATACTTAAAATGTAGAAATAGCATCATTAGCAATATTGTAATTTTGTAAAATTGGCTGCCAGCTAGTTGTGGTACTTCAGTATTGCTTGCAAAGCAGTGCAAAACCTATGTACTCATGTTTTGTTTTCTTTCATTTAACACTACGTGGTTTTGTTCTGCTTCTGCCACTTGCTCCTTCACATCAGCTGTGCATCTCTGCTTCTTTGTGGGAAGAGCAAAAAGACAAAAAAGGATTACTAGATTCATCTGCTGTCCAAGCGTGGAGGAAGTGAAAGAATTAACTAAGACAGTCTAGTTATTGTTTTTAGGCAAAAAAAGTAGTTCCTTTACTGTCCTTCAAGAATGCTTATATCAGATTGTTTTGAGACCATTTCCATCCTTGTTTTCCTAAAGAGAAAAAAAGAATTGTGTTTTCGATCAGTCTCATTGAGCAGAAACGTTTTAGCCCCCCCAGTGGATGTCACACAAATAACTGGAAGGGGGTGCACAAAGATCCTGTGTTTCTACATCTCTTGGGAATATACTGGTGCACAGGGACAAGTGAGAAAGAAGTGTTTCTGCTTCAAAGTTAACTTTATTAGTCTGGTTTCCCGAAGAACAAGGTTTAGGCAATCTGTGTATTCATTGTTATCCCCCTCTGCCTCTACTGTTCCTTCTGAATACTTTTGCTTATTTCGGTCTCAAAGATGGTTAAATTCAAGCTTTTTAGTGAAGTGGGAGTGGGTATTAGAGAGAGATCCAGAATGGTGGGCTCCCTATAGGCCAGCCGTGTTTTTTTTTCCCCAGGCTAACCACAGCCTCAGCTGCTTTTTACCTACCAGGGGGACTGAAGAACCTTGGGGAGAAATTCAGACTGTAGCAGGAAGGATATAGAAGTTTTTGAGGCAAAAGGCGTGAGATTTTTACGTTGCTGGTCTTTACCAGTTCCGCTGTATTTCTGCCATAGAAGGTGCTTTGTGTTTATGTCTGTGACTTGTGCACAAAACCTTGGCCCAGAAAGTGTTCATTTATCTGTCTTCATTTTTGCACATCACCTCAAGCAATGATTCGCTCTTTTTTTTTTTTTTTTAAAGATGTAAAAATGTGGTCCTCCTTTGACAGCATAAAGTACAACAGGAGAGAATTCACAAAGTAACTGTAAAGCTAGTCCCGAGGTGCATGTATTGGCTTGCTTTGCAGTACGCGTTTTTCAACTGATGATGAGTTTGGGGATCTATCAAAAGAAAAGGAAACTAATTTTTCTCCCCACTTGTTAGATTTGGAGGGAGTCGGGAAGGATCAGGCTTTTTTCGTGGGATTTCCTCCTCCCCCCAGACTGCAAAATGCAAAACATTTATCACCATGTTGTGGGGGGCTGGGGCAGAGGGTGAGCTGGCGGGGAGTGGGGGGAGTGAGGATTTGGTTGTTTTTCTGTCTCTACTTGCCAGGAGTGACTAGTTTAGCTAATTTGGACCACTTCATCTTAGATTATTGTCTGAGAAGCTGTAGTTCTCTTTTGCCTGTTCTTCAAACTGACCAAATGCTGTGTGATGATGATAATGAGTTACCCAACATTTCTCGGCAGCTTATAGCAGGCTGCCTGCACTGTAGCACAGTTTTCTCTTGCCCTGAGTGGGATCAGGTTGTGTTTGCTTATGTATGAATGTTATGAATAGCCTTTAAAATATCCAAATTCCAAAAGCCTTATTTGGCTTTTTTTCCCCCCTCCCCCTTGTACTTGATGTTTAGGAACAGAGGATGATTTTGGAGGACTTGTTTCAGCTAATCTTATTCTACTGCGAAACAGGCTTTTAGATATCCTTCTGAAACTTCTGTATACGTCTAAAGAAAAGACAACTGTTAATTTGCAGTAAGTACAAAAAACCTCGATGTAGAGAAAGGATATTATTTTTTCATTTCAAGGCATAGAATTATAGAGCCCTAATTTGAATCACTAGTTGAATAGCATAATTTTAGAGAATCTACTGAATGATTTATGCAGATGTCACTGAATTAGCTTTGGGTATGCTAACAGAAATGGAATGCATGATTACTGAGTTGTATGCAGTCAATTGTGGTTGCAAGAGTGATAGTACTGAGCAGGTGCTGGTGTAACTAATACATATCATTCAGATATTGCATTAACTGTTTTTTGTTTTGAATCTTAAAAAAAAATACAAACAGTGTAATACCATGGTTGACAGCATTAGTAGAAACTTATGCTTCAAGTTAGGAACAACAGAAGTAAATACCAGCAGGAGAGGAAAATGCAAAGTACATTTGGGGGGAGGTTGCTTGCTTCTTATTGTTACTTAATGGAAACAAAATAACATTTGTAAAACTGTTAATTTTAGAACTCTGAAGGACAGAGGATCACAAGTGGGTAGGATGCAGTGGGAACAAGTGCGTATGTCTGGCTGCTTTGATTTTTTTAATTTTTGTTATCTGGAGGGCTAGTTCTTTAACCCTCTGCTCTCCTCGTGAACTCCTTCATGCTGTTTTCTTGAAACTTCATGCATTGCTCTAGAGAACATAATGTGTCAAAAGAGAAAACTTTCTAGAGAAGTGGGATAGTCAACTTCTCATTTGATTAAGATCAGATGGCTTCAGTAGGGGTTATTGTTAGGGTTATTGACCGTAGAATGCCCCTTAGTTCCTTAAAATTACCAATGAGGGAACATGATATTACAGTTTAACGAGGCACTAGAGTCATATGGTGAGTTGGAGACGAGACTTTGAAACAGTGTCAAGTTAAACCTTGACAAAATACAACTTGCAAGAAAGTGCTTGGTAGGCTGTATGGAGTTCATTGGAGGCATTTTGTGGACGTATGACATGTATAGATTATGTAGTGATTGACTGAGCATTGATTGACATACAACCTGAACCTGTTTGAGCTTTTCAGCATAATTACTTTAAAAAATTAAAAGGAAAAAAAAAATGACTGTACTCTTTCAAATATTCCCAAGCAACTCTTCCCTTAAAAAAAAAACAACAAACAACCTTCATTTTTTAATACCGGCTTATTAAAAAGGCTTGTGAAAGCTCTCCACCTATGTAAGGCTCATCAAAAAGTATTTGGAAATTATAATTTGTGGACAAACGTTTCCAGTTCAGTATTCCAGGTATGTTATCAAAAGCAGCAATTCGAGAAGTCTTATGCAATGGAATAGTCTCAGTAGCTGTATTTAGTCTTCCCTTTCTGGGGAACACTGTGGGACACATACACTGTATGTGTTCCAGTTAACAAGATTTGGTGAGCATCAATTCTTATTGTGTAGTAAACTTATTGAAGAATTCAGGTAACTCTTCAATAGATATGATTTTTCTCCGATCTTGACGTTTGTCCTGTAGGGGAGGACACTGATTTTTGCTATCTAGTAGGAGACTAAATGCTGTGAAATGTGACTTTTTTTCCCCCTCCCTCTCTTTAATTAGGGCTTGTGAAGAACTGGTCAAGACACTGGGTTTTGATTGGATTATGATGTTTATGGAAGAACATCTGCATTCCACCACGGTCACAGCAGCTATGCGAATTCTTGTGGTCCTGTTGAGTAATCAGTCCATCCTTATCAAATTCAAGGAGGGTCTCAGTGGTGGAGGCTGGCTCGATCAGACGGACTCTGTCTTGACCAATAAGATTGGTACTGTGCTAGGTATGGCATCTCACGACTGAAGGATTGCGTGGGAGCGCATGTGCGTATGTGCTGAGGAGGGGGTTATTGTGTGAGTACTGTCTGGCAGATGCATTCTTTCTGTTGCTGTTGTCTGTGCTGCAGTCAGATGACTCTGTGCTTTATTTTTCTTGCAACAAAGAGCTAGATTTCCTAAACAAAAGGGAGTGGTTTTACAAAGCTGCGCTTCAGTTGACGTTACACATATTTCATTATGGTCCAGTCTTGCCTCATCAGCTGCACAAAGCCTGGGTAGCAAATCAGTTTTTTCTCTTACCATTTTGGTGAGGTTAAGTCCGTCCTGTGGGCAGGCGCATCTAAGCAAGATGCAAAGGCAGCATAGTATATCACCTTATGTACACAGCTAATAACAATTCAGTAGAATTCTTTCATCTGTTTACTTTTCATTGTCAGAGCATCATGCGATGTTGCATCTGATTTGCTTTGTCTAGGGAGTTCTGTGCCAATTAGATTTACCAATTTGAATTTTTGCTGTCTTGGGAATTTGTGTTCCATGGTATCATCTCAGCCTTTCTTTTCCTCTTCCCTCTCCTGTGTTCTTCTGCACGCATGCACTCTCTCACTCGTGAGCGCTCTCTCTCTTACTAAAGACTTTCTTTGCAGGTTCTTAAAGCCTCATTTATCCAGGTTATCAGACCTTTCTGTTACCCCGCATGATCTAGAATTCATTATATAAGGCTTTAGTGCTACAACACCCATTCTGAGCATCTCTAAGCCATCTGAAATGCATCTCCAACTGTCTGAAATAACGGATGTCAATTCTGTGTAGACAGGTGTAGGGCCATTTCCCCTGGGCCTGAGTGTTTTAGTCAAAATAAGATAGTGCTTGTCAGATGAATGCCTATTCAGACTCCGATGCAAACCCATTGACATTAAATGAGAATCTTTCACGAGCTTGAATAGGCTTTAGATCAGGGCAGTGATATTAGTAGTGCTTTCAACCTAATTGTTGTTCCTGAAATGACTGTACAAGGAGCCACCTCTTTGTTTTGCCACAGTATATGATCTGTTTCTGTGCTAAAGTTTTTTCTGAATTGGTTTATTATAAGGCAATAATTGTGAAGTGTTGTTGAAGCAATCTTACTTCAGGAAGAGGGCTTTTCCTGAAATGAAAATACAAAGTCCATTTTTTTTCTACTTCATCTCTTTGAAATCTATTAAAGTATCTTATGCTATCTTGTTATGTTTTGCAAAAATAAAACTGTTTAGGAAGTCTGTCTATCTACAGTGATTTCCCATCATATATCCCTCAGGATATTCAACGGGGAACAGAGGATGGTTCTTTGCGTTATTAATGAATTAGGAAGGTTAAAAAAACAATTTTTCTGAAGCCATATTACATGTGCGAACACTTATTGTTAACATCCTATACCATCTGTTGTTTGGCTAATTCTGATTAAGGTCCTGTATGTTATTTAAGAAACAGTGTTTGCTTGTGTATGTGCCTTAGGTGTATGTGCCCTAAAACTTAAAAACCATTGATATTTTAGGGAAGTAACTGTTGTTTGTTCGTTATCCACTTTAAGTGTCCAATAACATAAAAACTTTCTTTAGTCACAAATCTTTCTAAGCAGGGTTTTGATTTACAGCCGCATTTGTAGAGTTTTTACTATTTTTCTTATGATGGTGTCACTTTAATTGAATCCAAGTTAAACTGTGACCAAACAGGTATTTTTAAACTTGTCTCATCAAATTATAGTGACAGATTATCTAATTTTTATACCCTGTGTTTTTTAATAAATTACATCACATTGGCTCCAAGATTTCTCATTAAATCAGATACAAGCCATTTTTGTTCAAGATTAGTGATAGAATTCGTGCAACATTTTAGCAAAGATTTCAAGTAGTCTGGTTCATGGTAGATGTTTTCTTTTTAAAAAGAAGTCAAGTTCTGGTGGAAACAATGTCTGTATTAGAGCCTCAGAAAAACAACCTGATCTCTGGCAGTGTCAGAATCTCTGCTTCCTTCCTCACTTGGAAATAAGCACTTCTGCTGTCCCGGTGTATTTTTTATTTCTTAATAGGAAAATGAAATACCTAGGTAGAAGCAGGGTCACAAAAGGTGAGTTTTGTGCCTCTGGCAGTGCTTAAAATAAAACGAGCATTGAATGTTTCATAGCAGGTGATTAACTGGTAACAAAACAGCTGAAACAATATTCCTCTGAAACATCTTTGGAAACAAATTAGCTGCCCCCATGGACTGTGGGATTGCTGCTTGGTAATATAAATCTGTAACTGAAATTAAGGTGATACTTCCCTCTCAGCCAACGAGATATCTTTTTTCAGAAGTTTGGGTGTTTTAAAAGTCTGAAATTGTGGCCATAATTAGAAAATGGATCTGTGTGTGTATGCAGTAGCATTAGGTAGTCTGTGGAGCAGTGTCATGTATGTGGTACTTGGAGGCAATAATTTCCTTTTTTTAAATTGATTAACAAATTAGACATCTGAAGCAGAATTGCATAATGTGTGTGACAGTCTGTATGCACACATTCACTTTTTACAGTGTTAATTTCTGAGGAGTTACCTTCTCAAGTTCACTGCTGGAGTACGAGTGAGCTTCACAGGCATTTCCCTGTTAACATTGTTGGCTTTTTGTGGTTTTTTTCATCTTAGGGTTCAATGTCGGCAGGAGTGCTGGTGGCAGATCGACAGTCCGGGAGATTAATCGGGATGCTTGTCACTTCCCAGGCTTTCCCATTCTGCAGTCCCTTCTCCCAAAGCACACTAACGTACCTGCACTCTATTTCCTCCTCATGGCCCTTTTCCTGCAGCAGCCAGTCACTGAACTGCCCGAAAACCTGCAGGTCAGTGCACCTGTCATCAGCAGCCGGTGTAATCAGGGTTGCCAGGTAGGGATTATCTAGTAAGATGTAAATGTAATTCTGTCTGTCATGAAAGAAAATAATAGATTAACCAGGCTCCCTCCTTCTCTGCAGCTGACTCACAGTCACAATGCAGTGTGTAGTTCTGAGCTGTTTGGGGTGGGAGGACAAGGTACTGTGGGAGTGTGTGGAAGCCAGTCTGCTATAGCATAACTGTCGCTGGTGTCTTTCTGGTCTGTTTTGGGGTCAAATGAGAAGCAGATCCCTGGTTTGAGCTGGCATGGTGTGGGCATTGAAGAGGGCATAATTTTTTTGCTTGGTTTCTTTGTTGCTTTTTTCCATTGTTTTTCTTTGTTTTGTTTTGTTTTTTAAAGTGGAGAGTTGCTGTGTTAGAGAGTTACAGACAAAACAAGGTATTTTATTTTAGAAGTCTCTGTGATTTTGTCGGGAGGCATCTCAGTTGTTGCCGGAAGATGTTTACTGTTCTCATTCTGAACAGATTGATTTTGGACTTGTTTTAATTGTATGTAAATGAGTAAATATTATATGGTCTACAACAGAGTCCTAGGAAGCCTTAGTACAGTGCTTTGTGGAGAAAAGCCACACTCCCAATAAACAAGGCATCTGTTTAGAAGAAATGCAATGCAAACATTCATTTGTGAGTGGGAAATGGAAAGTAAAAATTTCGGACCAAAAGGTATTCTGTCTGCCTGTTTTCTCAAGAGGAATACTTGACAGCACATTCAGCACTGTGCTACAGTAAAGTAGAGACATGAAGCCTACCTTCTGCTTTACAGCATTGAAGTATGGCACTGTTAAATCAAAACTGAATTCAACTAATTAAACTATTTAGCAGTAGCACTCTTAATGCTTAGAGGTGGGCACTTTGTCCTTTGTTATTTTTTAATTGATTTAATTTTTTGGACTTGATGGAAAATGCAGCTTGGTTTGTTTTGTTAGGTTTTTTTGTCTGTGGGATAACATGTGGATTTTACTGCTAGATATGAGTGAAGTAAACTGAGGTGATTGTGCAGCACTTGTGCTGACAGGTCTCTTCTTGTTTCAAAACACTTAAATACTTTGAGAAGGTGAGAGTTGCAGTTACATTAGCCCATGGTTACAAGGAATTTTCTTCAGTGACATGTGACCTTCATGTGAAGCTTTTGGAGATACAGTTTGGAGGACATGAAGCAATTCATTTTTTTTAAATGCTGCCAAGTGAGCCTATTGTAGGTATAATAAAAAGCAGTATCAAATTGCATGGAGGAAAGGGATTAATTCATGTCTTCTTTCTTCTCTTTCATCTCTTAACAGTTTGATTTAGACTCTATCTGGACATTCATATTTGGAGTTCCTGCCTCCTGTGGCACCGTTACCTCTTCAATACACAGTGTTTGCACAGAAGCTGCCTTCTTGTTATTGGGAATGCTGAGGAGCATGCTGAATTCTGTAAGCATAAAAAAATTTGCTTCTATTTGAATATACAGAATTGTTAGAGTTTACCATGTGATCAAAAGCCAAGTTAGAAAAGTTGAGGTTTTGTTAATGTCACAAGCCCAGCTTCGAGTTAGGCTCGTAATACTTGGGTGAAAACCATCATTGTCAATGGGTTATTCTATTTTACTTTATTTTTCAGTATCTGTAGAAATATTATTGGCCATGAAATTGATGCTGCTTTTTCACAAAAAGGCTGGACTTTTGTGTTTTGCTGCAATTAAAACAAGAAAGCAGAAGGATAAAATGCCCTTGGCAGAGATCATTGAATTTCTTTCCCCATTAACATTGTGGGGGAATGTTTGAGACTATATCCCATCTGCTCAGAGCTATGCGAGTTGCAGATTTCATGCATGAACCTTCCACATGCAGAGAAGTCCCCTGACTATTAATAGCCACGTGGTGGAGGAAATTAATTACTGCCAGAAAAATGTGTCGCCTTCTCATCTTTGAATCTAATATTAAGAGTAGTGAAAGCTGGTTTCTTAGTGAGAAAATTTTGCATTTCCTTGGAGCCAGAGTGTGTTATCTACCAAAAATTATCTCATGAAATGTTTGAAAAACAGAAACTGTTTGATTGTTGCCTGTTTAGTCATCATGTGTTTATGTACTACTGCAGTACACATTCCTGTTGCCACATGTTCTGTCTCTTGCTGGTGACCTGTTCTGTCATGTGTTTGGTGCTCACCTGTTCGGACACATTTGTGACATGCTCAGAGACATGTGCTGTCTCTTGCCTTGCTGTCTTGTGCTGTGTCGTCAGATGTATGTTCAGATATGCCATCACGTTTTGGGTTGACGTGATTCAGGTCATGTTTACTAACATGTTTTGAGTCATTACATGTTAGGACAAATATTTTGTCTTACGATTCATCATGTGTTGTAAACGTGGTCAGTCTGTGACATGCTCGAACACATGCTCAGATATAGGTTGCTGTCATATGTTAGACTGCCATGTTATTGCTGTGGGTTTATCACATGTTCAGTCATGTGTCTGGCTACATTTCATCATGTGGTTGCAACATGTTCCAGCCTGTTTTATCATGACATGTTCTGTTGTAACGTTTGTCATGTTCAGCTATGTGTTTCTCATGCATTTATGATTTGGTGACAAGCTGCCTTATGTTGTCACGTGTTTGTGATGATTTGGACACATGTTCTCTTATCACAGGTTCTGTTGTCACATGTTGCAGGCACATGATTTGGACATGTGGTTTATGTGTTTGTTAGAAGTCGGTGACTTGTTCAGTTGTCACACATTCTGGAGGCAAAATTAGCCATGTGTTTGGTCACGTGTTTGGTCAGGTGTTCATCATCTGGTGACGTGCTCAGACGTGTGTTCTGTCACATTGGGTCAGGTTTGTCACATGTTGGTGATGTGCTTGAACACATTTTCTGTCACTTATTTGATCAGATACCAGGTGACATGTTCACACACTGTGTTCAGTTATGTGTGCTAGACACATTTGGTCGTGTGTTCTGATAAGTGCTACGACACACACCTGACATGTTCTGGGTGTGTTTTTTACACTTGGTCATGCGCTTGGCCGCATGTTCAGTTACCTGTTTCTGCTTTGCTTGAACAAGTGCTTGTCCACATGGTTGATCACATTTGGCCCCATCTTTGATCACGTGTCACGATCACGTGTTTCATTGCATGTTTGATAATGTGTTTGATTGCATATTTGACCCTACAGCTCCTCTTGCTGCAGCTGCTTTCTGAAATACGCGTTCTTCAGTTAGTGCCATCTGCGCTAATGTGCTGTTTGTTTTTCAACCCAGCCTTGGCAGTCGGAGGAAGAAGGCTCTTGGCTTCGAGAATATCCAGTGACCTTGATGCAGTTCTTTCGATATTTGTATCACAATGTGCCGGACCTCATTTCCTTGTGGATGAGTCCAGAGTTCCTGTGTGCGCTGGCAGCAACAGTGTTTCCTTTCAACATAAGACCTTACTCTGAGATGGTAGGAAATCCAACTAGTTAGCTGTTTTGGTTTTCCCCTGAATGTTACTTTTGAGGAGTTATCAATTAGCAGTCAAGCAAAGATAAACCTCTGCTTACCCTGCAGAAAGAGGTGGTTGTAAAGGCTGGGCTGGACATTTTGTACTTCAGTTTTGGATCTGAGAGAAGTTCTTGTTCAACTGAAGGCCAGCTGCTGTGCAGCGACGTCTGAAACTGCATTTTAGGGGGAATGTACGTGGTTTATTTGTTTTCTAGTGGACCATTATTTTCAATCCTATGAACAATGTTAGCTGAAATTTACAAAAGCAAAAGAGGCTGAGTCAACCTATGCTTTCAGCCCTCTGCTCTGGAGGATGTGATAAAATCTAAAACTTTCCTCCCACTTCCCATTTCTTCTTTTGTGGCTTAATAACAAGTGTTCTTGTATTAACTGGAACTACAGAGTTCAAGCTGGGAGAGCGTGTAAATTCAACTTTGCTTACATTGCAGCCTGAAGTATTCTTTGAGCTTAGTGTCATTTACAAAGAACACTATTTATAAAACAGGAATGGAGAGGAAGCAAACAGTTATTGTTAGCCAACATCTAAAAGTAATTTTACAGAGAACATGGAAGGGTAGTTAGGCTGCAGGTTGGCAAATGCTAGAACTAGGGAGAGTGTGATAAAATACTTAAGGAGATACTGGTGGCATACTATCTTTTTAAAGGTGCATGCTGATGAGTCTGTTATAAAGATAGTTTATTTTGCTTTTAACTTAAACTTGCACTTGAAGATGCTAGGAGCTCGCGCTCTCTCAAAAAAAATTGCCACTTATAAACTAGTAATGGTGATTCGACATTCACCTGTATAGAGTTTTTAGAGGAGCCTTGTGTCTCTGAGCAGTTTTTACTGTAACTAGTAAGTTCCTTGAAGCTTTGTGTAGCTGCCTGACAACTTGAGCTCTTTGCTGTTGGAGGACTCTATCGACTCCACATAGGTTAACTCCTCCAGCATGTCCCTCTGCCTGAATGTGTAGAACTAATCAATCCCTTGTGAATCGGATGAATAACAGCCAGCTTCCCGCAACAAAATGCTGTAACCCAAATTCAGCCTTGAGAGAAAATATTTAACTCATCTTTCAGCCTTTCTGAGATTGCTGTTAAAACCAGAAAAAGTACATGTTTGGGCTTCTCTTAATTTCTTGGGAAAACTCTCCTATTGAAGCAGACCAAATGTTCAAAACATTTGGTTACTTCATATATAAGCTGGTGATGCGATAAGCCTGTTGAGGGAAGTCATATTGTCTCCTCTTGCTTTTGGAGGAAGACGTTACATAAAAACAGTAAGTCTTTTGGATTCAACAGCTTTCATTACTGTTTGTGCTTTTGTTACAGTCCTCTTTAAGAGCTAGCCCCTCAAAGGTTCTTGTTCATCAGAAACAGGAAAGCTGTAGCGACCTTTTTTGGCTTTTAAAGATTTTGGGAAACTGGCTTACCCATAACTGCACTCTGATGAAGATACCATATTAAAAATAGAAAAGGCTCAGTTCTTTTTTTGTTTTCTGTCATGTAAGCTTGATATGCTTTTGGTGTCATGTAAGCCTTTTTTAGTTGTCTGCTGTCTTGATTTTAACTGCTTTAGTTAATAACTTTTTCAAAACTTTTCTTTTTTGCCATGAGAACTTATTTTTGCAAAGTATCTAGAAATTGCATAAGTACCTCTTCTTGGTAAGTGAATGCAAAATGTGATCTCTAGCTCATGTAACTCATTCCAGTCTTCACTGATTATTGTTTGCGTTGGGAATCTGAAACTAGAATTTGGATGTTTCCCTTGTTGTGTATTAGGGAAGTGATCCTGACCATAATAATCTCGTAAAAAGTCTTCTTAAGAAGCAAAATGTGAACAGCCTTAGAAAGACCAGTAAAGAAGATTAGCGAAAGACTGCCGTGAATTTAATGATCTCCAGAGTTTTCACATGCTATTTTTCACAGGTCACTGATCTGGATGATGAAGTTGGGTCCCCAGCTGAAGAGTTTAAAGCCTTTGCAGCTGATTCTGGCATGAACAGGAGCCAGTCAGAATACTGCAATGTTGGCACGAAGACATACCTAACCAACCATCCTGCCAAGAAGTTTGTGTTTGACTTCATGCGTGTGCTGATAATTGATAATTTATGTCTCACACCAGCCAGCAAACAGACTCCACTGGTAGATCTTCTGCTAGAGGTACAGTTTCTTTGTTTTTTGTGTTTTGTTTTTATTATTTGAACTTACTGTGACACTTTATTCACTAAAATGTTTTCCTCTACTTAGCTTTTGAAGTTAGAGGCGTGATGACCTGGGATTCAGTAGAATCCTGTAAATTGTCGTGAAATAAGAGGAAAAAGAAAAAGGAACTCTAGTGTCTCAAATAGTAGTTTGCTCACCTTTAACAGCTTGGAAAACTTAAGAAAACAAGTGCAGAGACTTTATCTTGGCCTTCCTTTGAGAATGTTTTCTGGACTTCTCCTCCCTGACCCCTGCAGCATTTGTGTATAATGGTGACCATCTCTGGTGCTTGAGCTGACAGTCTCCATGCTGGTTACCTGGCTCTTTTCTTCCTGTACTCTGTTCTCCCTCCACACCACAGCCCTACTACAACTTTTGTTTCTGGACTCCTTAACATTTGACCAGTCAAATGGCTCTGTTAGTTGCTGAGCGCACCATGTCAATGTTTTATTTCTATTTTGTCCTCACTTTAGAGCAGCCATGATCTTGTTTTGGTATCTTAGCCAGTACCTCGTTTTGTCTGGAAACACAGGTAGTGTATCACAACACTAGATGTTCAACAGTGCAGCATGAGAAGTTGTAGCTTTCTTCAAGTTTTATTTTTATGGAGTATGATTAATTTGTTAAACACCTTTGAGACCATGAAAGCTGTGTTGGCTTTGTTGAAAATATAAAATCCCTGCAGAAACGTTAAGGTTTCTGTTTTATTAGATAAAAAGAAATGGTGGGACATATGGCACCATACACTATAAAAGTTCACAAAATAACTGTGTTATCTCCCTGTAAATTATCTTTTAAAGTTCATGGCACCTGCAGAAAGCATCCTTCTGTTAATGGTGCGGCAAGGGATGAGGAGTTCAGTTACTGTTTAACCGCCCACTCCTTCTTCAGACAATGTATTTAGAAATGTTCAGTTCCTATCAGTTCACATTCTCCCTTGACCTACCTGTTTGTTACCTTGTCTGTATGTTGCTGAGTCTCCCTGACTTTTTGATAGCTGCAGGAATATTGGACTGTGCTGGTATATGTCCTAACAAATTTCGTAGGGCAGTTGGGCATCCCTTTGCTGTCACAAAGCCGAAAATGAATTGTCAAGAGATGCAGTTCTACGTAAAAAGCATATTTGAGGCCGTGTTCAGATGGTTGCAGTTATTTTACTGCTGTTTTAATCTGTTTTCACTCATCAGTGTTACTAACACCTTAGCATAAGTGGAGAATTGGGTATGTACACACTGCTAAGCTATTACAAGGCAAGACAAAGTGGGTTTACTTAATGTCGTATTGCTTTCTAGGACTGTTCAGATGGATCATTCATTTAAGTGCAATTATGTATGCATTGAACAACACAAGGTGACAAGGTAGTTTTCCCCTTTAAGTGTAAAGGAAATTAGCAAGGTTTAACACATCTATCTATTGCATGACTATACAAAGGCTGCTGTAGTAACATGCAGAACCCTACATAGTAATGATGATCAGCTTACATCTTTGATCTGTCCCACTTACCCATTTTTTACTGAAGGAGGTGACTGTGTGAACTGAGGAGACCACAGTTTAACTATATGTTTAGTTAGAGCTTTGTGCACCTTTTCGGAATGTGTTGTTTTCCAGTTCCTATTACAGCAGAAGATAAATTTACTGAATTTAAATAGAAAGAAGGCCTGCTCTGTAAGACTGCATACAGCCAATGTATACTCAACTTGCATTCTTAAATTTTTAGATAAAGCCAAGACTTCTTACTCGAGACAGAATTTTAAGAGAAAAAAAACAGTTCATGAGCGTGGAGAAAAGAGAAGTTCACCTAGAACACTCTCCCCCTCCCTCTTTTTGCTCACTCATCGATATTCGTTATCTTAACATTGCAATTTTTTTATCAGGCTTCCCCTGAAAGATCAACACGAACACAGCAGAAGGAGTTTCAGACGTACGTTTTGGATGGAGTGATGGACCACTTACTTGCAGCTGATGTTTTACTGGGTAATGTAGCAAAGTTTAATTATCAATCTTTTGATTTGAGCAAAAGGTTTTGATTATTTAACTCTTTATTAGTGTGCTGTTTTGTTACAACTTGATGGTCTTTATTTTTGTTTCTGCTGCCCTTTCCTTTCCTTTTGATGTGTCAGTGGTGTTGCTGTGCTTGCATGTTCCCTCATTATCTTGATTGTGCCAAAGCTGTAAAACAGGTTATTAAAAAAATACTATAAGGTAGAAATCTTTTGGATATGTAAGCCAGACAAATAGCAATCACGTCAGTAAGAACTGAAATGGGATCTTGCATCATCTCTCTTGTCCTTCTTGCCTTGGTAGAGGATCTGGAGCTTTTGTCAATTTATAACATGTGGGACTTTGGTTTTTAAGTTAGCTTTGTTTCCGTTTCCTCCTACCGTAGTTTTATTATGAATGCAGCACCCCAAAAAAACCCTGTGAGATTAGTACTCCATTGATCCAGTGAATAAATGGACAGGAAGAGAATTAGAAGCTTGTAACTTGGATGTCAGTAGGGTAGGCTGTCCCACCAGAGCATGGGCGTAGATGATCATGAAGCGGCCTGTAGGAATATTGCTGCTCAGGTGCCCAGCTGGATTTCATGGTGGCCTGCTGGACTTCCCAGCAACTCTTGGTCTGCACTATCTCCATCCTAGATGTCATGGGGCAGCATGCATTTCTGTTCAAAAGTGCTTGTAAGGCTCCCCCTTTCTTGCCACTGCAGTGATTTGTCTTTGGGTACAGTGCATTAATAAAATAAATCCAGAATCATGTTACATGAAGCTTTGGGTCAGGTTCTCAGAAGAATCTCCTGCCCTTACAAGTACTTCTGTGCAGCCCAGGAGCAAGGCTTTGGTTTCCCCAGGTGTTCCTTTTTCGAGGTTTTGCCAGCTTCTTACAGGTGCAATGCTATCAAATGTTCTGTGTGCAGATGAGGCAACAAGTGAAGAAGTGTGGGTGAACTTACAGCAAAATCAGCACCACTTTTTTTTTTTTTTTTTTTTTAATGAAAGCACTTGCACTTTTAAAGCTTCTCTTAATATAGCTGAACTGACATTTACATACACACAGATGCATGCAGCTGATGCCCATTGACTCAGTTTTATTGAGCAAAACACAGCGAGGGATAAGTGATGCCAGCTGATATCACTTGTCATTTCAGGGTGTTTAAAAAAGGTTCTTTTCTTTTTTGAAAAAGCAAAAGTATAATTATAAA